GCTTGGAGCTGCTGCAGCTTGTAATTATTGTTTGTGTGGCCGGTGGCAGCTTGAAGCTGCTGCCGGGCGGATCACGGGCTAGTTGGATTTTTCTTCTAATTGTTTTTATTTTTTTCTTTTGTGCGGTTGAACTAATAAAGAAGTGAATCTATTGCTTGGTGTTGCAGCAGCAGCCGGAGCGCTTTCCCGGCAGGCAGGCCTCTCCCAGCCCCAGCTTCCCCTCCGCGCCCGAACGTTACACATCAAATGTTCTCTTGTAGTCAAGGAATGTCGAGAGATCCTGCGGAGAGTATAAAAATCCTTGAAAACTTAGTGAATGGTCAGCGCAACAAATCACTGCTTCAGTAGCTATTTAGTACATTGCTCTTATATGGGAAACTGTATTTGTATTTGATAAAATCATTTCCTCAATTATCTTAAATCTGATCAGGACTAACTTGTCGATGGCACGATGCTTCCTGTGACTAATCAACCAATGCGGCGATTCTGGTAGAAGCCTGAAACGATTTGCTTGGAAGAGTGGGTGATTCGCTGGCTTTAAGGATTCACTCGGCAGAAAGCGCTATTTACCTGCGATAGCGAAAAATTACCTTTTATTCTCGACTCAGTCCTCTAGAAAATCAGTATTTGCAAAAGATTTCGTGAGAGAGAGCACTTGAAAGTCATTTTTGGCTATATCACATTTAAATTTTATTTTCAGTGGCATTACTTCGATACTTCAATTAATTATTTTTGCATTGTCGCGTTTCTTCTCGCCACGAATGTAACTGACAGTTTCTCCATTCTCTTCTGTTTTGGGCTTCTCTCATCCACGTAATTCCATATAGGAGTTCAGAGGAGTCCGTCACTGCATTTTTTATTGTTTTAGAATTACTTCACATATTGGATTTAGTTACCCGTCGGTGTATAGCCAGGAGTTCAGAGGTTACTGCTCAAGTTCAAAGCACCATTATTCCTTGTACGCCATTTTTCTTTGTTTGTCAGAAAAGAAAACCAGATTTCAGCATCTCTTGAAATACATGCACTGAGGAAGAAGTGAATGAGAAAAATGAAAACTAACCAGTAATAAGAAATAGTGAACAGGCTGGGGATGGATATGATGAAATAGAGATATCTCCAGCTGTGGATCCATATCCTCAGTAAGCCAACAGCCATAATACCCGTCACCCAAGTTATCGTGAACAACACCGGGATTAGCGATCGAAATTCGACGGACACTGATTCGCAGCACATTATCGACATGACAGCGAAGTAACCCTGCAATAAAAAATTCCTGCTTTGCTAGTCCTGGCTAAACAACCAGGCCTGACGTTTTGAAGTCAAATTCACCTAGGAGCCAGCCTCATGCACTTTTTTCTTGCTCCTAACGGTAAAATGACCGACTGAATAAGCGCACCAACGACGTGTCCAATTTACGCGTGCTTGTGTGCGACTGCAGTGGAAAAACGAAAAAATTGCAGTAAGTAGCAATGTACTAACATAACCATAAATTGCGCTCAACGATTTTCCTGCTGTTTCAATTTTTGTACTGTTTTATCTTTCATACGTTCTTTCCTTTCCGCTATTGTTTTCTCTCTTTATTTTTATTGTTGCTGTTATTATCGTTATCATTATTATTAATTATCGATATCAATATCATCATCACCACTGTTATTTATATTAATATTGTTGTGGTTCCCTTGTAACACTAAAGTTTCATCAATTTTGCTTTTTACTGCTTCATTATAAAATTCTCAAAATTTTGCGCCACATTTGTTATATCGTGAACAGTTGAAAATGAATAAGCTACCGTAGTGCCAATGCCAAGAATAAGACGACAAATGAGGAATGTGAGAACTGTTGGTGCCAAGGAACATGCAAACGAAGCTATACTAGCACACCAAAGCATGAGCAGGAAAACCATTCGTCGACCGTACAGATCCGACAGTTGAGTGAGCACCGGTATCAGTAAACCACCTGAAAAATGCACCCACGAGATAGGACTGGCCCTGGAGATAGCGAAAGCTCCAAAAGTGTCAGGATTTTCGCAAAAGCAAAGGTTTTCGAGGTAGCAGTGGTACTTACCAAACATAAAAAGCGACGAAGCGTGTTTTGCCCAGTGCTCATTTTCGCATACCAAATTGAACTGAAAATTATTTAGCAAGCGTTTAGGAAACTGTGAGTGGCTACTGGACATTCATCAATGGTTCCTAAAGTAAACTGCATTTTTTAAGAGTAACATTTTGGGACTGTAGTCGGAATTTCGAAATTTTTTAAAAGTTAAGAAACCCGTGGCTAGAAAGGGGGAATTATGTTTTTAACGCATTATCACCAGTCTACTTTAATAAAAAACAACAAGCATCAAGGTCATCTGCAGGCTAACCACCAGACGATGCAGCACTGGTCAAAACGATTGAAAAGCTGCAAGAAGCAAGGCCGAGGAGCGAGCTACGAAGCACAGCTGATCAATTACCAAATATACCTTTTAAGATATGTTTGAAAATTACATATTCCAGTATACAAATAAGTTTACCGTCTATGTTTCATCCCTTAGCTGTAAACACAGACAAAGCACCAGATGCGAGTAGTGGAAATCGTCAGAACAGCCTCCTACCCACCATGTAAGTAAAGGACAGTCTACAACAAACATGGCAAGATCTGAGGACAATAAAATTACAGGAAGAGTATGGAAGAAAGCAAAAGGATTAATAATATGGAAAAATTGAATCGCTGATCGATTAAACAACCGATTGTTTTCAAAGCCAACTGCTTCATGTGTA